CTGATCATTTACACCTCAATCTTATCAGAACTTTTTCTTCAATCTTTTGCTTTAGAGCACAATAACATATCTACTATCAATCATTACTTTTTGTTCAGCCTTCTGCTTCGGATACCAATGCATCTGCCATCAATAGTTTCTGTTTCTTTAATTCTTTTACTTCGGAATGCAACATAATTATCTACAGTCAATCATTACTTTTTATTTAATTTTTTACCTTCAAATGAAACATTCCTTCCTTGAAGCAATATTGCCTACTCTTTCTTTAATCGTTTGCTTCGGAATACAACATATCTTTTGTCAATCATTACTTTTTCTTCAATCTTTTGCTTCAAAATACAACTCATCTACAATCAATCGTTACTTTTTCTTAAATCTTTTGCTTTGGAATCAACATATTCTCTACAATCAGTCATTACTTTTAATTACATTTTTTATTTCAGAATGCAGCATATCTACCTTGAAGCATTACCTTTTCTTTAATCGTTTGCTTCATGTGTGTGTGTGTGTGTGTGCGTGTGTGAATATTGTTTGTACATGCTGTTATGTAAAGCGCCGAACACCAGAGAGGGCGCTATAGAAATGATCTGCATTTTTATTATTATTTTCATAAAACAATGCATCCACACTCAGTCCCTTCCGATACCTTCCAACTTTTACAGGTCGCCCTTCTCCGCCATACAGCCTGTGTGTGCGCGCCGGTATCCGAGGTTGAGAACAGAACGCTGTACCAGGTGGCCAACATGACCTGTGCCATGCCCTGTCCAGGTGACCCGTCACAGGTGGGCTTCCTCAGGGTGTACGAGTGGGGTTTGTCTGTCTGTCTGTCTGACTGTCTGTCTGTCTGTTTGTCGGTCTTTCTGTCTGTTTGTTTTTCTGTCTGTCTCTGTTTGTTTGTCTTGTTCTTGTTCTTGTTCTTGTTTTCGTTGTTGTTGTTGTTGTTCTTCTTCTTCTTCTTCTTCTTCTTCTTCTTCTTGTACTGTGGAGAAGATCACAAGAAAAGAAACGGTTGTTTTCTGTAGTTGAAATGTCCCCGTTTTGTTGTTGTGGAAGATAAATTTATAATTTGATTTTAAATCTAATACTTTAAAGTAATGGAACACTCTCAAAATGGAAAATATCAAAATCAGGGCTTTAGCCCTT